TATATATATATATATATATATATATATTCAAGCCATAAAAACAACTTTCAAAATTATATTAGGATAAATTTGTGACTTTACAAGATGATGGATATTAAGATTGGAGGATTCTCATGCAAGGAACAATTTGTATATATATATCCTTATTTATAGTTGGATCTAACATGTACATTCATATTCACATATATGTGTGTGTTGTCTGATGGATAATATGTGGCTTTACAAGTTATAGTACTATTATGAATTATCTTATTATGACTAATAAATTTTGGTTGATAAAACTTTAGTTAACTCATTCTTCTAAGTCTCTTGTAAAATCGCAACTCCCCATCAAATTTTAGAGGATTCACATGCGAGGGAAAATTCGTATTTTCACCCATATGAGTGTGTGTGAGTGAAATTCAACGGTAAAAAGACTCGATAAGAGCAATGCCTCCACTTAGTGTTGTTAACTTAAACGAGTTTGGCTCGGCTTGAATCCGTTCGTTAAGGCTCGAGTTCGTCTCGACTCGTTTAATAAACAAGCTGAGTTCGAGCTCAATCAAGCTTGTTTGGTCAATGAGTCAAGCTCGGTTCGACTCGTTAGGGCTCGAAAAAAGAATTTTGAATAAATTTTTTTAGCTCAGCTCATTAAAGTTCGACCTCGATCGACTCAATATTAGTGATAAATAAGCCGAGTATGAGCTCGATATTACACTCGTTTATTTAGCGGCGATTTCATCTCTCAGACGATTAACCTCTTGAACATGGAGATCAAAAGCATGAACCAAAAAATGTTCCACACACAAGATGTAGACAAAATGGCTTTTAGGTTGGAGATAAAATTTTGAACTTATAGCTGATATTTTATGGGCGATGGCTGAAAAATTGGCTGACGAACAAAAGTTTTTTTGTAAAAGTAGCTGATATATCAGTTGAAATAAAAATTTCAATTAACTCATTTAAAAAAGCTACCTAAAATAGTTTGAGATAAGTTTCAATTTTTTGTTTTTTTAGACAAAATTTATTTAAATACAAGAAACTTATTAGCTACATAGATAGATAAGTTATAAACTAGTTTATGGCGGGTTTCTAAACACTCGGTACTCCAGGGCTCCACCTACTAAAAGTAGAGAAAAGAGGGCCCGATGAGTAGGCCCAAACTTAAAATAGTCTTGGCTGGTGGCCCATTTAAGGCAATTGGAAGCCCGGGACCACCTTAATTACCAGAAACAAAGCCTTCATTTCATTCTCCCTCTCTTTAAAAACATCTCCTTTTCATTTGAGTTAACATTGTTAAATGCTCTATATTAATAATCACACTGCAAATGACATATGCAGTCCCTTTCTTTCTATTCTATATAAACTAAACCTATTCACCATCATTCATCAATCAACTGATTTTAGGAGTCACACACACACACACACACACACACATACGTACAATATGGTACAATCGAAGAAGTTTCGAGGAGTCCGACAGCGCCATTGGGGTTCTTGGGTGTCGGAAATTCGTCACCCTTTGCTGTAAATACATATATCTCTACTTATAATATATTTTAATTAGTTTTATCCAAACTTTATATATATATCATGAAATATGTTCACAAATTCACACACATTGATATAATAGAGAGAATTAGTATATATTTCTGTCTATTTTCCTTACTTTCTTCTTTTTTTTTTTGTATCATGTAGTTATTAATTTGTTTATTTGTTAGTTTTTGTTTAGTAATTTGATTTGTCATGCATTGTTCTGAAATAATTTGTCATGCATGATTAAGAAAAAAAAAAAAAAAAAAAAAAAAAAAAACTAGCTGATTTATAATTTCACTCCACATATATTCATCCTTTTACATACATTACCATTAATTCTTCCTTTTATCTCATTACAATTGTACAATTTTCTTGCAGCAAAAGAAGGGTTTGGCTTGGAACATTCGAGACAGCCGAGGAGGCCGCTAGGGCCTACGACGAGGCGGCCATCCTAATGAGCGGCCGCAACGCGAAAACGAACTTTCCGGTGCCGGCTAATCGGGAAACCTCCGTCGTCTCCGCCTCGTCATCATCGTCGTCGTCCACGTCATCGCTGACATCAGCAAAATCGGCTTCTCTCTCTTCCATTTTGAGCGCGAAGCTCCGCAAATGCTGCAAGTCTCCTTCTCCTTCCCTCACTTGCCTCAGGCTCGACACGGAGAGCTCGGACATCGGCGTTTGGCAGAAACGGGCCGGGTCGAGATCCGAGTCCAGCTGGGTCATGACCGTCCAGCTCAGCAAAAATAACTTTAGTAATAATAACAATAATAGTAATCATCAAAGTCCGGCGGTTACTGAGAAGCCGGCGGCCGACTTGGTGGTGCCGCCGCCTCCGACGGCGGCGGCCGAGGTGAGGGGAGGGATTGACGAGGAAGAAAGGATTGCGTTGCAGATGATTGAAGAGCTTCTTAATAGAAATTGACTAATTAATTTATTATTTAATTGAGATTTATTTTATTTATATATGGTCGGAAAAGATTTTCCTGTTTAAAAAAAAAAAAAATCATGCATGTTTCAATTTGTGTTCATTTGGTTGGATGATTGAAGTACAAAGGGTATTAGCCATGAAGTGTCAATTTGTCCATATCGTGGCGTAATTTGTGTATGTACCAATGTTATGTGGGTTGAATAATAACAATTTTTTATTTTAGAGATATGTATATATGTGGTATTAGTGACTAGGTCTGTAAACGAGCCGCCTTTAATGAGCCAGTGGAGCTCGGCTCATTAACCAAACAAGCTAAAATTTGAGCTCGAACTCAACTCGTTTATTTCTATTAACAAGTCGAGTTTGAGCATTATCGAACGAATCTGAAGCTTTAACGAGCCGAATTATATAAAGTTAATTAGATAAAAATTAACTTTTCTAATCTTATCGAGCCGAGGCAAACAAACTTTTAATAAGCTCGAGCTCGATTCGTTAAGGCCTTGATCTCGAGCCGAATTAGAGCCGAGCCGAGCCAAACTTGTTTAATTTAACAATTGGTGACTCCTGATGTATGTTATTTGTAGTTGGATTTAATAGTTATATATATGTTTTGAGATTTTTTTTAGCAACTTAATGGGAAGCCTAAACTACCGCATCAAGATAAAACAATTTATTGTTAGTCCACAAAATAATAATAATAATAATAATAATAATAATATACTAATTATTTTAATTGATTATATGATAGGCCTTTACTTTTGCATTATCTCAACGACATTATAGGACTGATAATCCTAGCTAGCTCCCGAATTTTGATTATTTTAATCTTTATTTACTTTATTTCAGGTGTCATATATTTTTTTTAAGCAAAAAGTTAAATAAGTGGAACAAAGGTAAAAATCTAGAGTCCAACATGTGCATAGAGAAACCAACTTTACAGTAGATCATATGGCGAGACTTGCTTCCTCATCCCCGTTAGGTTTGAGCATGGTTTTGTCTCCTCCCCCGAGTCTCGGAGATTGGCTCGATCATGATATTTGAGGAGTATCTCATCCATGTCGAGTTTTAACTTAGCGTGGTTAGACATATGGCCTCCTTCCAAAAAAGGTAAAAATCTAGAAAGACTTCCAAAATACAAAGTCGAGACAATGAAATAAAATAAAATAAAATGAAATAAAGCAATTAGTGAGAAATTAAAGGGCCTAACATGCAACTCGAGACAATCTATTTATGAAAGTATCAATTGTACAGCTATTGAGTAACACAAATTAATATTTTATTTTCCAAAAAAATGATAGTAATACTGTCACTATTGGGCTTTGGCTTTCACCAGACATCATTTTTTTGGGGTTCAATTAAGATGATAATGAGCTTTAATTATTGAATATTCAATCAAAATACGAATATATAGTTACTAATAATATGAAAGTTCTAGCTAGCTAGCTAGTGGTTCCATTAAAATTGTGTCTCGAGTTCTTGGGAAATTATCCTTCATTGTCACTAAATAATTGAAATAATGTACCCCCAAATTAAAGGACCAATAATATATAAATAATAACACTAAATAAACAGAAAATATCATAAATTAATGCACAAGTGATCCACATTTAAATTATTATAAGAATATTTTCTAACTGCGGTACGTTCAATGATTTCAATGGTAATTCCTATAAATATTCCAATTTATAACTTCGATGGAATTTTAAAGAAGATATTCCATGGTAATTTTTATTGAATTTTGACAATTTAAATGGTAGTTTATTTAACAGTAGGAATTACTGATAAAAAAAAAATAAATTTCAGTAAAAATTACATATTCGAATTTAATTCAGATGAAATATCTGAATATCGATTTATATCGTAAAATGTATTTAGAATTTCTATTGGAATATATAGTAACTTTTTATAATGATATGAGTTGATTGTTGACATAACGTAGAAGTAACATATGAAAAAGACTACCACATTAAGCATATACATAATTAACTGTCTATTATTAGGTGAAGGTCTTTAAGCATATAAAGGACAAAATAATAGTGATGATTATTTGGTGATGACTGATTAATTAATGTCGATTTGTCACTTGTCCAAATAAATGTAAGGTCCCTTGTTACGTATACTACGCATCCCGTGCAATGCAACGGACAAAAATATTAAATGAATTATTTTCACAGTTTTTTTGTTTAAATCTAAAAAGTAATAGGGTTATTATCTATTTTCTACCTCTTTTAATTCACATTAAGTCCAAAAAACAATAGGGTTATAAGCTTTTTTCCACATCTTTTAATACAAACTTTAATAAATTTTAAATGTAGTATTTGATAATTTAATTGTTTGGTATTTTTTAAATAGTAAAAAAATTGTTATGAATATATACATTGTTATTTTGAATCATAGTTTACCAGATGGTTATACCAATTTCATTATTCCCATACATGGCCAATTTCACATATGCGAATCTCTTACAATTTTTTAATGTCTTTTAAATATTAAGTCTTAATGTTTATAAAACTATACACCAACTATACGGCGAATAATATATTTTTGTAGTAAAAGTAATTTACAACTATATATGCACCGAATGGTCCAATTTAGATATTTTTTACATTCAAATTATTCAATGTTCAACTTTATTTAACAATGGCGTGATAATAATAATAATAATAATAATAATCACAGTAGAAAAATCATAGTAAATTGTATTGAAAATGTGTTATGAGATAAACCAAGTGAATCGCTATTAACCCCCCCCCCCCCAATTATTTTTTGCCCTTCACACTCTCTCTCTACTCTCTCTCTCTACTTTTCCTTTCGATTTTCTACGGCTCTTTTAACCGTCAAAAAAATTTCAAAAAAATACCAAAAAAATACCATGACATCGGTAAAACATCGATGATTGACCATGTAGTTTTTTTTTATATTTTTTTACTATGTAAATAATTTTTAATTTTTATTTTTATTTTTTTTTTTGCATCCGGTCGGCCGGGCCGGACGCGAAAAAAATAGTAAAAAAACATTTTAAAAATTATTTACAAAGTAAAAAAATAAAAAAAAATACATTGTCAATCTTCAATGTCTTGCCGATGTCATGGTATTTTTTTGTTCTTTTGAAATTTTTTTGACGGTCAAAAGAGCCGTAGAAAATTGAAAGGAAAAAAGTAGAGAGAGAGAGAGAGAGTAGAGAGAGATAGTACTGAAGGGCAAAATCGTCTAAAGGCGGCGGTGACTAGTAAAAAGGGCGGTAAATAGTAATGCCCTAAACTAATTAAATAAAATACTTTAAACAGAAATAGAATGCATTAATTACCTTTGACTTTTCTACCTACTATTTTTAATAAATAAGATGACTTTTTATATAAGTATAGATTCGTTTAAACAATATTCAATAAAAGATAATTAGGATGCAACCACACAAAAAATAGACATAACATTATACAAACCATTTATATTTTACCTTTTCTTTATGAATAATATGAATATTTAATTCAAACCAAACTGTTTTCATATATAACACTGGCTATTAATTACTAGACAGGATGAGAACTTTTGTTCTATTTTCATGAAAATGAAAAAAAAAATATCATTCAAAAAATGTTCTTAGCTACCCAAGTTTGCAAAATATCAATTTTAATGATGAAATTTATTAAAACCATCAATTGCTGCAAACATTGGTACTTGGAGCTTTCAAATTACTGAAAAGTTCTTGATTAATTGGGCATAAAAGCCATGTGGCACAAGACTTGTCAAGTTCAATTGCAACATATATCTTTCTATTGTTTACAACATTGTTCATAGAGACACCATGCACTAGAGTAGAGACACGGGCTGAAGATGGTCTCAGCACCACATGTCAGATAGAGCCCTTTGATGGTGATCTCCAAATGTATGAGTTCCCTTATGTTTTTTCGAGATGTCGATCGTTTTCCCATCGACATGAAAATAAAGTTGTTCGTCCAAGCCATCGAAGCATCCTCATATATCCTCTTCACAATGCTCGATTCCAAAAAGTCATGGATTTACCTCGTCCAAAGATGCACTATATACAAAAAAAGGCAGAGTCTAACATATATCAACTCCTACAACATACTACAACTTAAGTAGAGAAATACTAGAAGAACTTCAAGTCTATGAGCCTAACCTTTCATTCCCAGCAACCATCCCCAGGATTCGTACTGTTGATTCACGTAACTGCCAGTTCGGAATTTCTTGCATTTCATATGCTATATATATGACTTTACTTTTACAGAAATGGCTACAGCGGGTGGATACCGTACGATGTGACCATCTAATGGGGCAAGCTTTCCGAACACCACCTCAAGAAAGACTCCCCATGGCCTTGGCCCTCTCCCTCAGAACAAACTTCTGAACCTTACCAGTGCTCGTTTTCGGCAGATCCCCAAACACAACCGTCTTTGGTGCCATATAATGCGGCAGCCTTTCCCTACAAAAATCCATCAACTCCTGCGGGCACACCTCCACTTCATACCCTTCCTTCACCTTCACGAACGCGCACGGAGTCTCTCCCCAATGCTCGTCCGGCCTCCCCACCACCGCCACCTCATCCACCGCCGCGTGCCCGTAAATCACCCTCTCCACCTCCACCGTGCACACATTCTCCCCTCCCGTGATCACCACATCCTTCCACCTGTCCTTCACCTCGATATACCCGTCCTCGTGCCTCACCCCCAAATCCCCGCTCCTAAACCACCCGCCCGCAAAAGCCTCTCGTGTCGCCTTTTCATCTTTTAAGTAGCCGGCCATAACCGTGTTCCCCCGAAACACGATTTCCCCTATCGTCACCCCATCTCCCGGCACGCTATTCCCCAAATCACTCGGGTCCCGCACGTCGACGTCCTCTAGACAATAGTGCCCGACTCCTTGCCGGGCCTTGAGCCTCGTCCGCTCGTCTCTAGCCAACGAGTCCCACTCGGGCCTCCACGCGCACCACGTTCCCGGCCCGTACGTCTCAGTGAGCCCGTACAAGTGAGAAACCCGAAACCCGAGATCCTCGATTTTTAAGAGGAGGGGCTCCGGCGGGGGCGCCCCGCCGGTCATGATGTCGACCGTGTGTGGCAACAGTTTCCGAGCGGGCGAGTTTAGGATCATGTTCAATACGGTTGGGGCACCGCTCATGTGGGTGACCCGATGGAGGGCGATTTGGTCAAATATCACGTCGGGCGAGACCTGACGGAGGCAGACATTGGTCCCGCCGAGGGCCGCGAGGCCCCAAAGGAGACACCAACCGTTGCAGTGGAACATGGGGACGGTCCATAGGTACACGGGAAACGAGGTCATCCCATGGATGAATGACGTGGCCAGTGCGTTCAAATACGCGCCCCGGTGGTTGTACACGACGCCTTTGGGCCGGGAGGTGGTCCCGGACGTGTAGTTTATGCTTATCGGATCGAATTCGGATTCGGGTCGGAGGGGGACGAACGAGCCGTCCCCGGAGGAAATGAGGGACTCGTAATCGTGGGCGTTGGGGAAAGGAGGGTTCGGGGGAGGGGCGTTATCGGGAATTCGGACGAGGATGGGTGGTGGTTTGTGGGTTTTTTGGAGGGAGGATCGGGCGGTGGTGAGGAGGTGGTGGTCGGAGAAGAGGATCTTGGCCTCCGAGTGGCAGAGGAGGGCGGAGATCATGGCCGGGTCGTGGCGGGTGTTCAGGGCGCAGATGATTGCTCCGGCCATGGGCACCGCGAAGTGGAGCTCCACCATGGCGGGCACGTTTGGGGCAAGGGTTGCTACCTGTTTTCAGTTCATTCTTTTAGAGTGATGGATAAAAAATTTCCCATAGCTGAAAATTTTCAGAAAATTCAAAATTGCACATCAACAAGGAGAAGGGCAGAGAACAAAATCCAAGAATGGCAATTTACCACATCGCCTCGAGAAATTCCAAACTGGGTGAGAGCAGAAGCTAGCTTGAGGCACCTCGCGTGGGTCTCGGCCCAAGTGAAGTGCAGAGAACCGTACACAACCGATGTTCTGTCTCCGAAAACTCTTGCAGCTCTTTCCAGAAAGCTTATGGGCGTCAGCGGCGCGTGGTTTGCGGGGCATTTGACGATGCCCGCCAATGATTTCCACGACGCAGCTTCGAGATCTTCAGATGATGATCCACAAAGATGCCGGGAAGAGAGGGTTTTCCATGGGCGGGACTCGTTCACGCAATTTATCGAACACCTGGAGCGCGTTGAGCTCCACCGCCGGATAAAGTGATTCATGGTGGTAGAAAATAAACTTCGAGTTTTTTTTTTTTTTTTTTTTTTTGGGTTCCTGATATAATTGTTTGATAATGAATGTGTGGACGGGGGATCTGGGCGACAGACTCATCTGACTGGGAAAGTAATAATTTAGCTAAATTTAGTTCTTTACTAGTACGTCAGTCACCCGAGCCATGCGCGGCATGATATTAAAAAGGGAATAGTGTTAAAAAAATTTGGTTCTAGTAATATAAAAAAAAAAAGCTCTTGCAATAAAAAATAATAAAAAAAAATTATTACACATTTTGAAACACTTCCTTAAATACAACATTAGTAGTAGAAGAACCAGACTCACTATAACTATCGCCATCACAAATAACAATTTCTAGACCCTTGAGATTCTTTACTCTCAGAAACAAAAACATATAATTGTCCATAACTAAATACAGGTTTCTTCAACAACAACCCACGCTCGACAAAGATTGTCCTTGACTCTTATTGATAGACATTGCGTAAGACGCCATAATTGGGAACTGTCTTCGCTGAAACTTGAATGGAAGTTTCGGATCTGAAGGTGTCAATGACATTCTTGAAATAAGAACCTTATGACGTGAACTTTCTGCTCCAAAAACTTCACCCTCTATAACATGATTTCCAAGTTTCGTGACAATTAATTGAGTTCCATTGCACAAATCAAGAGAAGGGTTAACATTGCGAAGAAACCTGAAACAAAAATGACCCTGAAAAAAAAAATTTGAATAAAGCGTTGTATTGTTTTTTAAATAAAATAATATATTAGATCATTATACCAAAAGTAAAAAAATACCATTTTCAATATTTGACAATGGAAATGCCTTGGTCTCATCCAGAATAGTCCTCTTTGATTCTTCTACATAACAATGTCTTGATAATAACATTTCATTTTCATCCTCTCCTAAATTGAAATCATGATTATCAATAAATATATTGAAATACGAACAATTGAAGTTTAAAATTTAATTATAATCTAACTACAAATTAAGAAATATAACCTAAATTAAAATTCAATTATTAGCTACTTAAAAATTAAGAAATATAAGCAAAAAATTAGAGTATATCCTAGGTTGTTAAAAAACGGGTCACACGTCGGATTAATAGAAGTTGTGATCCAAAACTCCAATGTAGTAATGTGAATATGAGGTGACACATATAATTAACATTCATTCTCAAATTTTATTGTTCGCAATTTCTTAATTCTTAATGAATTATTTAGCCACATCTCATATGTAAAAAAAATATAGTTTTTTTGTTGAAAATAAAAAAAGTGAATGATATAATATGTAAAAAAAATATATTTTTTTGTTGAAAATAAAAAAAGTGAATGATATAAAATTTAAAATTTACAGTTAGATCAAGAAAAGCATATTAACTGTATATTATAAATTTTATATCATTCACTTTTTTTATTTTCAACAAAAAAATTATATTTTTTTTTAGAGTATCAAATAATTTTGTTGGAAACTTATACAAATATTATATGAATAGTTAGTTTTTTATTTATAGATAATTAAATAAATGCTAAAGAACAGAATGAAAAATTTTCTTCGCTGCCTAACAAAACGTAAGTTTTTTTGAATATCCAATACGTATTTACGATAGGAAGTTATATGGTTAGCAAATATATACACAAAAAAAAAAGAAACAAAAAGGTCCATGATAGCAATGTACATATAACATTGTTTATCAATTGCTGAAACAAACAAAAGTCTCCTCCTTTATTTATTCTTTCGTTACCTATAAATTTTAGGAATGAATATGTAATTTTTATTTATTTTCTTCTAAATCTTGTCCTCCTTCCAAATTCACAGACGACGGCCATCCGAGAACAACCTCTAGATCTGCGAGAGTGGGTTGAACGATGACGACATAACGATTGGAGGGCAGCGAGAAGTTGCAAGGCTATTCGTGGTCTAAGGTGAGTTGGTGTCTAGGTTACAAATATGGGGCAAATTATCAATTCTCTATTTCACTCAGTCTAGTTGGTCTTTGAATGTGAGAACTGAAATCTGCTTTGTGAAATTGAGAATTTTTTTTTGAAATTAAAGCCCTCTCTTCGCCCTAGATGTATATCTATTTGTCTATATATGTAGATATGTGTGTACAGTCGTGTATATGTCTATGCTTGCGTGCATTAAGACATATGTAAAAAAAAAAAAATTCTCCTAATGTGCCAAATTATAAGAATATTCTGAAAAAATATATCCTGGAATTTAGGAGTTAAATATCCTTACCTGGGTTCGCAATATCGTTATGCTTCCTTTTTCTTGGTGGTATAGTTGTAGATTTTGTTATCTTCATTCTGTTGATATATCTTCAATGTAGGGGTTATTGTGATGACTATACTATGTTTTAGTAATTCGAGTTTATTTCTGTAAAATGTAAAACAGAAGTTCCTTATCAGTTTATAACGACTTTATATAATTTGTTACCTTGATAAGTTAGAAAGAGTGTGTTTAATGGTAGAATTGTTTTATTCCCTAGATATCTTTGAATGAGCCAAAAAAACTGTAAGCTCAATAAATTAGAATAGTAATTTTCAAGATCTTGGGTAAGATAAAAAAAAAAAAAGAATGTTTTTTCTATATGAAATTCCATTTTGTTGCTTTGAAAGGGTACAAAACTGGTTTCTAGAGTGAGTTATGAGTTATAAAAAACTTGTTTAAATAAGTCTCTAATAAGTCTCTCGTCTTGTGAATACATATATGGCAAGATAGAAATTCTTATTTCATTGTAAAAAAAAATAGTGAAAATTCACTAAAGTCTAAGGCACTTATTTGTCACAATTTTTTATTTTTCTTTGAAGTTTTGAAGTCTTGTATCATAATTGATATCCTTTTAATTTAGGAAGAATGATTATGCAGCCAAGTCAAATATATGTTATTAGATGGTAGAAAATCTAGATTTGGAACATGTTAAGTTAATTGTTTTTACCACTAAAACTCATTTGCTTGAGGGAATTATGAAAGTCGAAACTTGTTCGTACTTCACCGTCGCGTGAATACGATCCCCCTGCATTTGAAAAATGAACGTTATCAAAATAAAGTTGATATATAAAGTACAACAAATGCAAATTGACTTACAGTTCTATCATGGAAAACACACTCCAAAGTTGAAATCTTTGACTTGTCGTGGTACATAGGGACAGAGTACAACCGAACTAAACCAACACGCAATCCCCAATGCATGTTTCCAGGTTTGATCTCACTTATCATGATTAAAAGTCCCATTTTTGAGAGTCTTGTTTTTCAGTTTTGGTATTATTATTATTATTATTTTACTAAAACTCAAAGTCTTTATAGTTTATTTTTCCCTTTTTCTTCAGTATATGTATAGTAACATATTGGTTCTTTGTCTTCCAAAAAAAATGAAGATACAATTAATGATTATTTAAGATATGTTGATAATTTCAAAAAGTGAATGTTGAATGTTAGCCTGTTAAGAAGAATTTTAATTAGTTTTAACTTTTTTTTTTTTTTCTCTTGGCAATTGATGGTTGATATACAGGACATCAAAGGTTCATTCTTTAATTATTTTGGCATTTTATATTTTGATTGCAGGTCAGACTACAATAAAAGTTAAGTAGTTATTGGAATTTGGATGTTGACTGATTTCAAATGCTAGAATAAATAAAGAAGTTATTGGACTGATATGGTGGCAGAATTGATGGTTGACAGCATTCAATGTCTCTACATGAATCAAAATGGTTCATTGTGTTTTCGTCTTTCAAGTTTTCTTTGCAGACTACAAAAAGTAAAATATTTATTGTGTTTCAAGTTTTCTTTGCAGACTACAAAAAGTAAAATAATTATTGAATTTTGACTGCTTTTAAAGCTACATAGTTATTTGGTGTCGTCAACTTTTTAATTGTATATACATGAATCAAATTTTTGATTTTATTATGAATTATTTCATTTTACTTCATGAGTTAATGGTTGTTGTAATTCTCAATATCAGACAACATGTTAGAATAATTTATGAGAAGCAATAAAAGTGATTTGAGCGGGAAAATAAGTTTGTTCCAGCTGCTCCACTTCAATATATATATATATATATATATATAGATTTCACAACTAGTACAAAACTCTAGTACGGCTCTTGAAAATAGAATAATAAACTCTCGATTCTAAGGGAGCAGGGGGGACTTAGAGACTGGCACACATGGGATTTGATCAAGAATGACCTGGATGCAGCTTATAAATTTGAAAGTAAATTCTGGGAGCAAAAATCTAGAACACAGTGGCTCAAGCTGGGGGACAAGAATACGAGCTACTTTCATGCTCTAACCCTTCAAAGAAGGAAGAGGAACACTATTCATCAGCTGATCAGAGAAGACCAAACCTCCTGTGTATCCCATGATGCCATCTCTCATTGTATTGAGGATTTCTTTTTAGAGCTGTTTTCTTCAGAAGGCTTTCTTGATGTCAATAATACTCTTCAAAATATCAAGAAGAACATCAACAGAGACATGAACACTGACTTGGTTGCTCCAGTGGACCATGAAGAAATTAAAGGAGCTATCTTCAACATCAACCCTTCTAAAGCCCCTGGACCCGACAGTATGAGCTCCATTTTTTTCACTCATTCTGGTCCCTCATTAACATGATCTCTATTCTGCTGTTCTTAGTTTTTTTGAGTCTTGTAGATTGCTGAAATGCTTAAATCACTCTCTCATCACTTTGATTCCAAAATGCCCCAACCCTATCACCGTTGCTAATTTCAGACCGATTAGTCTTTGCAATGTGAGCTATAAAGTGATATCAAAAATCATGGCCAATAGAATCAAGCAGTGTCTGCCTTTTTGCATTAGTCCCAATCAATCTGCTTTTATTGCTGATAGACAAATCTTGGATAATGACATCATTGCTCACGAAGTGATTCATTTTATGAAAAACCATAGAGTGGGGAAAACCTGTTATATGGCCATTAAACTTGACATGGAGAAAGCCTTTGATCGTGTCGAGTGGGAGAGTGTGAAAATGGTT